TCTGCGTGAGGCGCTTGAACTTGTTGTTCGGCTTCTCATTGCGAATCGAGTTGCTTCTGACAGAGTATCCGTCAGCGTACGAGTTCTTGCCAGAGGCAAGGGTGCCGTCGCTGCGAATGTTGCGGGCGTTGATGCCGTTGCTACCATCTCGGAAGACAATGGACGAGATGATGTTGAAGAAACCAAAGGTGATGGCTAGAATGCCCGAAGCGAGGATGAGACGCCAGAGGGGAAGACCAATGGTCTCAACAGAGTAGGCAGGCACTGTGATACCCCCGAGAACGTGGCAGCCCATGACGACCATGGCGACTCCCAGCCAGCTGAGGCCATGCTCGGGCGAGAGGGTAGGCCAGTTGCGCATGAAGTAGGCGCGGAAGACGTTGAGCTCGGAGACGATGAGGAAAACGGCGAAGCAGAAGGTGAAAAAGCGGGAGGCCGAATCGAAAAAGGCAAAGTTGCCCTTGAGAATGGACATGACGATCATGGTCCAGGTGGCGGCGCTTACGGCCAAGAGGCCGATGATGTTGAACGCTCGGAAGACGTTGAGGATCAAGTGACCCGAGCCACGAAGGCTAGAGTTTTCAGAGAGGTTGAACATTTTGTGATTATAATCGAAAAACAGCAGTCGCGACGTTTTCGAGTTTTCGAGGCGGTCCTATGTGTCTGAGTACTCGGTGGGCTCTGGTGAAGAGTATCAAAGTCCTGGGGTAGCATTAGTGACGAGTCCGAGATCGACAAAGGGCGAGAACCACCATACAAGTAAGGAGAGTATTGAGTGGATAGCGGCTGGTGATAAGCTCGGTAGCGATGAGGTCCGTAGCAAAAATTCGGTCAGTCCAAGCTGACGAGGTAATCCAAGCGGCTAGTGATTCGGCGGTAGAGTATCGAGCGCGAGGGTATGATTAGAGACAAGTGGGAAATAATCCCGGAAACCAGTCCAGGAAGGTTGGCGTTATAGAGAAAGTGTTGATGTCTTCACAATGGAAGAAGGAGAGAAGGTGACGAGAGTATGAGGAGGGAAAGATTGTAGGCGAACAGGATTAGTAGATGCCCAAGAACAGAATCTGTTCACGGCTGTTCAATGGGAAAGAGGGAAGGGAGCTCCTGCCAGAAAGGACCGGTGGGTAGGTTCGACGTCAAAGGAAGGAGGGACGGGAGCTCCTTCTCCTTTAATACAGACAGGACCCTGATTGACTATGAATTCTTGTCCCACGACCAGAGCTTAAAGAAACATGGGGTGAAAAAGTAATGCAAAGCACCTGAAGTAAACATAGGTAAGTAACTCCGTACCTTGCTCAGAGCAGTGCCCTTATTCCTTCTCTTCCTGCACGTCACCTGGGATTTTGTCATCCCAGCGACAAGGCAAGAGGAAAGTCAGGTCCAGTTTGACGAAAGGGAGCCTGCCCGGTGGCCCTCTCTATTCGCCGTTTCGAATCACAGCCAAAAGTTTCGCGCAGCCAGCAACCAATCATTCTAGCAGCGCCAGAGGGCCATCAGGGCCGCGATGCATCGGCGGAGACTCAGCAGGGGGGGCTGGAGGGGAGGCGATGGAGCGTTCATGGGTTCTCTCACGAACGGCTTGGACGATCCCTCGACGTCCCGGGCGGTATGAGAACTAGGATACGGGGGTGTGGGTAAATGGGATATGCGGGATAGAGGACGGGATCATGGAGAGACGCAGATGGTGGACTCGAGAGCGTGATAGCGGGACGAGGTGCTGTGCTTCCTGCGGTTGAGGTTCCAGACGACGCCATGCGGCGACCAGACGTGGTTTCAATGAGACCCCTGATCGAGCACGCGCAGCCCAGAGCAGCTAACAACTTTGTCTGTCAGTCATTCTCTTGTTGTCACGATATGGGTCGGGCAGCGGTGGCCTCGCTGCATGTGAGTGACACCATCTTCATCGTGGAGCTGCTGATAACCTGTGGCGCTCACCAGATCGTCGAAGAAGATACACCCGTGACACTCAGCTCGGCAAAGTGCAAAAAGACGAGACGACGGAGGGTCTAGAGAGCAGAGACCATGACAGACATGGGTGGCATGAACATGCCGTGGACCGCTTTCATCCAATCGTGCGCTGAAAGTCGGACTGCTGCAGCTTGTCTAAGTCAAGGGCATGCAATTCAGGCACAACGAACCTATGAGAGGGCGGCAAAGGTACAAAGTTGGCGGAGTAGGAGGCGAATATTCAAGCATTGAGAGGTCCAGACGGGATCCGAGGTAGGGATGTCTATGGTATGGAAGACGGGGGAGGTCTGCTCAGGGTTACAAACAAAGTGAACAGTTGAGAGTGGAAGGGACATGGCAACTTCTCAGTTCTCGGGCGCGATGCCGGATTGATTGGATGACGGGCGACGAGACTTTGTTTCATGCGAGTTTAGCAAAGACAGCCGCCGGCCGAAATGCCAGGCACGCATGTCCGCTGGGCGACCCCTGCAGGCGCCAGAAGTACCGATTCGCTATGCAGAGTTGGGCTTGATGGGCCAATTCCAGTGTGAGCGGCAACGCAAGGTACCTGAACCTGCGTCCCACCCTGCGGCAGTGAAGATTTGGAGGCCGTAGGCCCGTAGTTGGCTCTTCCGAGTGCGATTTCGCAGCACGGGCGAGCCCCAAACCTCCGGTACGGAGTCCCCACCGTCATACCGACAGAGCATAAGTCTTTTTATACTCCATGAAATTCGATTCTACCAGCGAATAAATCACTGATACACAATGTAAATTGGAGTTATTGATCCAATACGAATGAGGAATCTACGACAAACTGCGGTCTGTATCTCCAAGCCCTGGTGGTTCGATTGTGCCTCTCCAATCATTGAAGAAGATCCCGAGGCATACGCAAGTCCATCTTCAAGTACTAGCTGAGATAGGTAGATATATCAGACCAGCTGAATAACAAATCCTCAAATTGACATTGTCTGGGAAAGCTGACCTCGGCCCTCCTCAAAGACAGCTATTGGCTGCGGTCATAGCTCTTCGTGCGTCCGTCTGAGGTAGGCGGCTGAAGGCTCTCCATCGCGCCATGATCACTTACAAGCGGTATCGCCAGATGGTAATGAAACCTGATCGTGAAACCAAAAGACTGGACAAGAGGCGTGGATCTACAGATTGCAGGGCGGCCGTGCCTCCAACAGCTTCCGGTGCATCGGACGTGGTCCGCATTCGATTTCCGAGTTATTCATGACGACTGTGGCCCGTCAAGAGGGTCGCTTGGGATTAAGCGCCCGTCCACTTGCAACCTCATTTCGTGATGCTGCCTGTAAGTGAGGTCGTAAGCGTGGTCCCCACCCTCTAGACCACGTTTGAGAGTATCTTACGAGGACGACAATGTTTACGCGCGCCTAAAAAAGCAGAAATAGCCGCCAAATTCTAGAGCTATTCTAATTACAGGGCTCTTCTATATTCATGGTTCAACCATTTGAGCCGCATCCCGGGGCGTCTATCTGTCTAATTTAGCGGAAACCTCCAGCCGCCAGTCTTGTACGATGTGGCCCCAGCCAGGTCGCTGTGGCAGTGCTCGCGTCAAATATCAATTTCCAGACATCAGCTTCGTGAATAGAGATCGGAAATGCTAATTGTGCTCGCGCTTCATCTGGTACTTCATTTTCCTTGCGCCAGATTCTTCATGCTTCACCTTACCTACTTTACTCTAGGGTCCAACCCAGTGAAGGACGTAGTTTGCCTTGATTACCAGCTTGATTGAAGAAAAGCCATAGACCTAAACTCTTTGCGAGTTGCCGACTTGTAAAAGAAGAGCCCAATTCATGTGTGAAGAGAAGTATGAATAGAACCTTGAAGCCGTTCACTCACTAAACACTCTATGTTGTGGTATTGAGCTTAGGCAGACTCATTGGTTGATAAAATACCTTAAGAGGCACTATTTCCCCCGAGTTGCGTGTTTGTATCTTAACAGCAAGTAGCAGATGTCCCACACTTGTCTGAGGGAATAGGTAACTGTACAGGACCTCGTTGATATGCCAAGATTATTCTATCTTCATGTATAATTCTTTTCCCCAGTTCTTGACAATTGGCAATCTTATGGTAGGCGATTCACGCCTTCCAGGTCGATAGAAAGAATTACCCGAGACGACATAAGGTACCTTGCCTTACCTTTCATGCCTTGTGGTACCTAAGGTACTGAGAGCCGGGAGCGACGGGTGAGCTGAGATGAGATAAGATAAGAAAAATACAGGATGAGGTCAGCAAACCTGTGTGACTCGCACCTTCCAGGTTCTGTCATTTCCCTGCTGCTTGGTGGTAGCCCAAGGCACGTGAGCTCAAGTGGGTCCGTCATTGCCTTTCACTGTCACTTCCTACCTCCATTAGCCTCAAGACCCGACGTCAAATTCATCTCCGCCAGACATTGCTGCTGATTGACCATCCTTCCATCAAACACAACGACAATTCGCGACCGACATCGCCCACGGCGAGGATTTGATTCGACTTGACCTGAAATTGGTCAACGCTTTTCGTCTCATTGATTCGTCTCGCTGCGACCAAATCGTGACTACCCAACTGCCACTTCCACTCCCATTTTGCTCTTTGTCTACCGCCACTCTCGCGGCGTTCTCTGTACGTTTGGCGACCGTCAACATCTACGAAGGTCCCATCGCATTCTTCAAGCGGACGCGAAAACCATCCACTGGATAATGTTGTGACGGTGTCCTTGCTCTCTGCTCGGATTTGGTTGGCTTTTGGTGTGGAGGACTTGAGCAGAAAGAGGGTCTGGACGCGAGAATTGGAATCTGCAAATCGGCCCCTTCCACTTTAGGTTACCTGCGTCGTCTGTTCTTCCAAGCTGCAGACTGGTGCTCCTCCATAATAAGGGTGGTTTATTGTGCTTTCCATTGCATAGGGTGAAGGCGCTTGACTTCGAGGTCGATCTGAATCTTCCCCGCTGCCATTGCGTTCTCGCTTTCCTGCAGATCTCGCTCGCCATCGCGTGCTCTTGACAGACAAAGATTCATCATCAAGGATATCGCTACCCAGGAATAACCACAATCATGTCGTACGAGTCATCCGCCACAGAAGTCGCTGAGGACTATCGTCAAGCTCTCGAAGACTTGACTACCAATGTGCGATTCGAAATTAGCAATCTGACGATGATTGCAAGAGAGCAGACCGAGCATGCCCAAGTCATCTCTGAAGTCTTGCAGGACCACATCTTGAAGGTAGGCTCTATCCTTCAGCTTTCGCGTAACGGCCCGCGTTGTCTGCCAAGTGCTTTTCAAGCGCAGCTTGGGAAGTCACGAAGCTCCCTTTCCCCAAGATAACGATCCATGCTGACATGTTTGACAGGCGCCAGCGCACAAGAAGCTCCCAGCCCTCTACGTCCTCGATTCGATCGTCAAGAATGTCGGCACTCCGTACACTTTGTTCTTTGGAGCAAAGCTATACCAGACATTTATGGAAGCATACGCGGCTGTCGATGGCCAGGTTCGCCGCAAGATGGATGAAATGCTTCGCACCTGGAAGGAGCCTGTTCCTGGATCTCTGGACAAGCGTCCAGTTTTTGCGTCAGAAGTGACGGCGCCTATTGAGAGCGCCCTCATTAAGGCTCGCACATCCGCGCTTCAGGCTCAGCAAGGACGACCAGCAGGACGTGGCCGACCTGCTGCTGCACCGTACCGCGAAACACCAACGCCGCCGGGTATGCGACCTGGCTCGAACCAGCCGATGCCATACGGCCAACCTCCGCCCATGCCACAAGCGAATGGCAACCGACCTCCGAGTGCGCCGCTCCCACACCAACCGCAGATGGCCCCTTATGCAGTACGTCCGTCCTACCATTTAGCACCTGATATCACAGACTGACAGACCTTACAGCCTCCTCCGCCATCATACAGTGCTCAACCTTCGGCAGCTCCTGGTCCCTACCAACCCCCTCCGCAGATGCCATACGGAGCCGGACTCTCAGGACCTCCTCAGGCTGCTGGGATAAACAAAGACTCTCTGGGTCAAGATATCCAGAAGTTGATCGATGCGTCGAAGTTGGAGTTTGCACAGAACCCCCATGATCATAGTATTCAACAAAGACTCAAGGCGTTGTTGGATGTGCAGAGCTTGCTTCAACATCAGAACTTGCCCCAGGACCAGTTGGTCCTCATTAAGAATCAAGTAGCCGATCTTGCCGTAAAAGTGAGGCCGTTCTCGGCCCAAAGCTCAACCCCTACTGCTACAACTGTCCCCCATCATCCACCGCCGCCACCTGCGGCGCCTGTAGTACCATCTGGCCTGCCTCAGCAGCAAGCTGGAGTGACGCTTGATGCCCTCTTGGGCCAAGGAGCTCTTGCTGCCCTGTTGTCACGGCAGTCAGCCACTCCGCAGCTTTCAACGCCGCCGCCCCCTCCTCATGCCAGCATGGCGATCCGGTCTCCTCCCCCACAGAGGGCCGAGCCGCAAAGACAGCCCAGTGCGCCGCCGGCAACAGATCCTATGGCGTTGCTGGCCGGCTTACGGCAAGCTGGAATCCTTCGGGGAGCAGCTCCAAGCGCAACGCCGACGCCAGCAGCCCCGGCACCAGTGCCCCCTCCAGGGATGCCTATGATGCCTCCCGGATTCTTGCCCCCTAACATCGCAAGCTTGTTGGCTTCCGGCCAGCTGCCACCGATTCCTCCGCTTGGGGGTATGAGCGGCAACCAGCTTGATGCGGCGGCCTTGAAACAACAGTCAGTTTATCTAAGAATCTTGCTGGAAGCACACTTGCTAACCCTTTCTAGATTCCAACCTCACTTAATCCCGTCTCTCTTTGAACAATTGGGTCCTCAATGCACCCAATGTGGTAGACGTTTCAAGACGGATGATGAGGGTAGGAAGAAGAAGATGGCGCACATGGATTGGCACTTCAAGGCACACCAACGACTCGCAGAAGCAGAAAAAAGAGGCCAGCACCGAAGCTGGTATGTCGATAACAATGTGAGTCACCATCAGCCCCTCATGAACATTTGGAATGATCTAACATCATGCAGGACTGGCTCAAGTCACGAGAGGCCATTGATGTCGACCATGTTGCGGCTGCGGACAAGTCTTCGTCTAGTCCTGGCCGAGGGAAGAAGGAGGCCAAGCCTCGATATATTCCCGTGCCAGATGCATCCAGCGGGATCAATAGCAAATGCCCCATCTGCCAAGAGAAATTTGAGAACAAGTGGCTTGAGACTGCTCAAGAATGGGTGTGGCTGGATACTACATTGGTTGGCAATCGAGCATATCACTTTAGCTGTCATTCGGAAGCGACACAAGCACGCGAGAGCACACCAGTCTATACGAAGAGAGCACCTGAGCCATCGCACGGCAAGAAGCGCAAAGCAGAGGTAAGCCGGGGTGCAGCTCTTTTCGCAATATCGGCAGGGACTAACCAATGTTTCAGGGTGACCAAAAGCCATTTCGTGGAAAGATGAAGAAGGACAAAGACAAAGATACTGTCAAATGGCCCAAGGCGGAGCTTGACTACTGAAAGTCGAACAGTCGACACGCGGAAACTCTTCAAGACGCCTGCCAACATCATGCAAAGCACTCGGATATATCTGCAAAAGCTAATAACGGCGTTTGCTGCATCTTCACCTGCAGGACGCCTCATCGAAAACCATCACGCATTGCCAAGTCACGCCCATCAGCCTGTCATGAAACATATCACCCTATGGCGGTGAGGCGACACAGTGGTGTATGCGACAGGACTGCCAACGCGCCCATGAAGGAGACAAAAAAAAGCAATATGTAATGGGGTCCGGTCTAGCAAGAGAGCCGATCGTTGGGGGATCGGCACGGACGGAACAACGGAAAGCGGACACAAAAGAAGTGTGGTGAGGCTCCGTTGTTCGGAGTTGCTGGGCAAAAGATCGGCAGACCAACTTCGATATCGCAGTTGATTCACCTGCTTGGCAAGGCTAGGCCGCATCAGCAAAGACGGCGTGGTCATCAGCCCAGAACAGGGGAAGAAATTCAGGCAAGACGAAAGCCGAACACACCGCAACACCGTACAGGTGACAGCGAAGCATCAGGGGCGGCCTGGTCGGGTGTTCACATGGCAAGCAGAAATTTTTTTTTTCTCGGTGTGCTATCCTGCCCCCGAGATATGGAGTTTATTAATAAACGAAATACCCAGTATGGCGGTGGTCATTTTGCAGCCCTGACAGGTATGGTTAGGTAGCAAGCGGAATAGAGGAATGTTACCCTAAACAAATCTTTAGATTGTGGTGCATGGAAAAGGTGTTCCGCTTATGATTTCCCTTGTGTGAGTTTACTCCACAGTAGCTCTTGTGATCCATGTCCCGGGGGGAGAACAGCAGATGCGTTCGTTTCCACACTCCCCACAGCCCACAGTCTTGACTCTGCGCTAGAGGAGGGCCTATCTGTCGCATCCCTGTCCAGCCTGTGTTTGATTCGACAATTGCTTACAACTTTTTGGTAGGAAGTTGGTTCAAGAGCCTTTCGGTGAATGTGGCGGGCTAGAGCTGATTCGGGCTACGTTTGGGAAATCCATGGTGAGGAAGAAAGCACACAAACTCTGAGGCGGGTTGGGCAGTGATTGGGTCGCATGAAGGCGGGAAAGATGGAGAAAAAAAGGAAGGGAGGAGGGGTGGGTGCGAAGGGTGGTTTGATCATTGATGGCGTTGGGTTTTCTTTGGTTTCGGCACCGAAAAGAATGAAGCGGCGGGCGAAGCGGGCGCGGGCGGGAAACGGTAGCCTTACGGTAGAGCTGGCGTTGAGGAAGCACGGCCGGGGGAAGGATTCCTGTTGATTGCCACAAGCCCAGGGGAGCGGGGGGAAGGACGAGTTGGCCGGTAACCCGGGGGCGGGATGAGTCCCCCGGCCCACCGTTTTGGGGGCTTGCCGGGCCTCGTGTCTTTTTTGGTTCGGAAGAGGGTGGCACGGTGGCTGAGACAGAGGTGTTTCTCCTCTTTTTCCTTGGTTCGTCATCATCTTTAAGACGACTCCATCGTACCGTTTATATAGACTCATTAGGTTGAGGAATAGATTCGCCGGCGACGCTACCCGTACTAGTCCCAACCACCATAGAGTTTGACAGGAGACAGTGAGATGTTGCGGAGTTCTAGGCGACTATTGATACAGCTGGGGGGAAGCCTCATTGATGACATCTTCTCGATCTCGAAATCGCATGTAGTTGATCAATATTTGAAGTAGCTCTTTTCTCTTTTCTTGGAATTTTGGAATGGTGAATATGTCATGACGGGGTTTGGTGTGAGGTGATTCAAAGCGGGCCGCTCAGTCAGTCTTGCAGCCAAGTTAGTCATGTCTAATCTGGGCTCTTTGTGTCACACATCAGGTGGGAGAAGTGTCAGAACCAGAACGGTAGGTAGACGACAGACGGTAGAAGATCAACAAAGCTGGTGTTGAGGTTTCCAAAGCTGGTCCGGAGACTTTGGAAAAACACGAGGCTTGCAGACCCTGTGGCTCTGGGAGTCTGGAATCGAATGGTTGGGCTTCTGGAACCCTTTGGGCCGTCTCCTTTCCCAGGGACCTCCCCGGCTTTTCCAACAGCTTCCCCGAGCATCCCATCACCTTCCTGCATGGTTGCATGGTGTGCTGCCAATCTGCCACGCTGCTTTTCCCCGCCAGCTCTGGACTGCTGCTTGAGGTTCCCAATATGGAACGAGATTGTCAGGTGGGCTTGGCCATCTCTTTTTCTACCAGTCCACACTATTACCTACCTTACGGATAGTGTACCATATCCCAAAAGGTCACCCTTGCCCCCATCCCCCCATGCAACCCCCAAGATTCTAATTCTTGATGGGCGCGGGGGGCCACTGGGGGGTGGTGCGGATGTCGGTTGATTGTGGATTTTTGCCCCTCCACCCCTCCATGCCCTCGGTGTTGCCCCCGTCCCGAGGGTAGTCCCAGCTTGGAACCTCCCCGGGGGAATACCTAGCGCTTGGAACTGCAGCTCTTACACCGCAGGTGGCACGCGGATCCCAACCGGACATGCTTATGGCTTCGTTCCTTTTGCTGTGACTTTTTTTTTTTTTTTTTTTGCCATCCGAGGGGCTGCTTGGCCTTGTCTTGCATCATGTACAGCCCATCTGGCAGTAAGTACCTGCAAGGCAGGGTAGCTCTTGTACGTACCTTCGCTGCTCTCACCTCACCCTTACCCCACTTGGAGGGGCAAAAGGGGTCCAGGTCCTAGGCGCAACACTAGCTACCGTACCTTACGGTGGAAGAACCGCCATCTACGCAGTAGTAAGGTGAGGTAAAGCAGGCAAGCACCAGGCTCATCCCCTCCCTTTCGTCACAGGAAGAAGGGACGAAAAAATAAGGGTGTGTGCCGATGATGGAGGTCTGGACTGAACCTGACCTTTTCCAGTGAATCAGACCTTCCCCCCTCCTGGTCGTGTTGAGGTGCTCTTTTAAGAAAGAGCTCCCGTCACCTTTTTTATGTTGATCAACAAAACCGCCGTTGCTCAAAAAGCTCTACACTTTCACACCTTCTCTACCTTCCATCTCTGCATCTACTGCGGACTGCCAAAGAATCCACACGTTCATCCCCAGTGCGTGATCAAGAAATTGCTATTCGAGTAATTACACTCGGTCTACACAATGGAGTAAGTTCAGCCAATGTTACAGCCAGTCACCTACCTACCTGCCTGCGACCGAGCAATAGAGCTGGTCCGAAGCCTCACGATATCCCCAAGAGCTAACACTTTCCCTCAAGGGTCCAATCCACCGCACCTCCCCAGCTTCTCGTAAGTTCGACCGGAATGGAGCTCTGCTCCTTGATTTTCAGAAGCCAGACCATTGACTCGATGTGTTTTACTAGGACCACTACATCGGCATCGATGTTGGCACTGGTTCGGCTAGAGCATGCATCATTGACGAGACTGGCGACATCAAGGGCCTTGCCAGTGAGCCCATCAAGCTGTGGCAGCCTGAGACCGGATACTACGTACGTCACCTTTGAGCCTCACCTTCTCACCATTACTTTGGCAATCGATCCTACGAGATGTTGGGCTCAGTCAGCTGACCTTTCCGAAAGGAACAATCCACTTCAGATATTTGGGCATGCATCTGCCACTGCGTGAAGCAAGTCCTCGTCGAGTCCAAGGTCGACCCTGATATTATCAAGGGCATCGGATTCGACGCAACCTGCTCCCTCGCTGTCTTCAGCCACGATACCGACGGGCCCGTCGCCGTCACCGGCCCCGATTTTGACAATGCCGATGGTAACGACCGCAATGTCATTCTCTGGCTGGACCACCGCCCCGTCGAGGAGACGGAGAAGATCAACGCCACCAAGCACAACCTGCTCAAGTACGTTGGCGGCACCATGAGCATCGAGATGGAAATTCCCAAGGTTCTGTGGCTCAAGAACAACATGCCCAAAGAGCTCTTTGACCGCTGCAAGTTCTACGACCTTGCTGATGCGCTCACGCACATGGCCACCGGCAACGAGACGCGGAGCTTCTGCAGCACCGTCTGCAAGCAGGGCTACGTTCCTGTCGGTGTTGACGGCAGTGTCAAGGGCTGGCAGGATGACTTCCTGACGACGATTGGGCTCGAAGACCTTGTTGAGGACGATTTCAAGCGTATGGGAGGTGTCAACGGGGTGGTGAGCCTTTTTCATTTGAATTCTGCTCCTCTGTTGCTTCAGCGTCGACGTTAAAGTGCATTTGACTGACTTGGTCTTTCATAGAACGGAAAATACCAGAGCGCTGGCGAGCTCGTGGGTGGTCTCTGCAAGAAAGCTGCGGCAGAGCTTGGCCTTCCCGAGGGTATCGCCGTCGGTGGCGGTGTTATTGACGCCTACGCTGGTTGGATTGGTACCGTCGGCGCCAAGGTCGAGCTTCCGCCAGGCCATCTTGAGGCGGACCAGCCCAAGAACGACCTTTCTCAAGCCTTCCACAGACTCGCGGCGGTTGCCGGCACATCGACGTGCCACTTGGCTATGTCCAGGGAGGCAGTGTTCGTGCCTGGTGTTTGGGGTCCATACCGAGACGTCTTGCTCCCCGAGTTCTGGATGGCCGAAGGCGGCCAGTCTGCCACCGGCGAGCTCCTTCGACATATTCTCGAAATCCACCCTGCCTTCATCGAGACGAACGCGCTTGCCACGGCCGAGTCGAAGAACATCTACGAGTTCCTGAACTCTCACTTGGAATACATGCGTGAGAAGAGCGGTGCCCCGTCAATCTCGTATTTGGGTCGCCACTTCTTCCTGTACGGTGACCTGTGGGGTAACAGATCACCCGTCGCAGACCCGAACATGAAGGGTGCCGTGGTTGGCTTGAGTAGCGACAAGACCACGGACAACCTGGCGTTGTGGTACTACGGCACGATGGAGTTCATCGCCATGCAGACTCGACAAATTGTTGAGGCGATGAACACGTCCGGACACGAGCTTAACACGATCTTCATGTCCGGCAGTCAGTGCCAGAACCCACTGTTGATGGACTTGATGGCTACCATTTGCGACATGCCTGTCTTGGTACCCAAGTACACCAACGCGGCCGTTGTTCATGGTGCTGCCATGCTGGGCGCCAAAGCGGCGACCGCGACCGAGGATGGCACCACCGAGAACCTGTGGTCCATCATGGACCGTATGAGCAAGCCTGGCCGTCTCGTCAAGCCAGGCACCCTCAAGGGCGAGAAGTTCTTGTTCGATGCCAAGTACAAGGTATTCCTGGATCAATGCAAGACGCAGCAGGAGTACAGAAAGCAGGTCGATGCTGCCCTCGACCAGTGGCTGAACAACTGAAGCGTTTTGGGGATGGGTTTTGTGGCGTGAGACGATTAGACGACCTCGGGAATTGGGTGAAGGAGCATTTACGGCCGACAGGAACGGGGCTTGAATTTTCACTGGAAGGGCTGTAACAGGAGTTGAAGGGATAATGATAATAGCCATTCTTTATGAGTAAAAACAAAATATTTATACGACGATTTCGCATTTTGCAATACCCCATGTCATAAAGTGATTTAAATCGGAGTATTTCTGCCGATGCGGCCATCTGCGAGGTAACAATTCGCATACCTTCAGCATCAGTCGATGGCGCCCCGCCGGAGGGGTTTCGTAGCTGCAAAGCTGCATCTGTAGCGAACACACGTGCCTCTAAGTGCAGCTGTTGATAGGACAATGGCTGCGGCGCTACGTAACGGGACTGTGGAACTTTGCGGTGCTGGGACGGGAGAGTGGTGGGGCCGCGCGAGCAACACAGGCCAAGCTTCGCCTTCTTGCAGGTGCCAAACCCCATCGCCTTCAACTGTCACCCACGACCTTACCTCTTTTTCTCTGATTAGACTGGTTATTGTTCCCACTTCTGCGCTTGAACTAGACGACAGGAACTCGCCTGACGGGAAGGGCAGGAAGAATCAGGACCGAAGCAAGGAAGCGAAGGACGAGGGTTTTCTTTCGATATCCCCTGTCGCGCGCCAGCCACATCACCCAGCGTTGCCTCGTTACACCCGAACCCGAAGCTTGTTTTTTTCTAGTCACGACCTACCCCTTCGACCAACTCGACCGAGATTTTCCACGGCCAGACTTCCCAGCTCACACCTTTGTCATTCTCGAGGGCCCCAGGCATTGTCGACTCCGGATTCCCATATCGAAACGACAGGAGCGACACTTCCGCAAATCCCCACTTCGATCCCTATCTACCACCAACCGTCGCGATGCGCTTCGGGAAGACACTGCGGTTGGCCGTGTACGCGCCATGGAAGGACAAGTACATCGACTACGCGAAACTCAAGTCGCTTCTGCGGGAAGACAAGTACGATGACGAAGACGTTGCGTGGACGGAGGACGATGAGAACCGCTTCTGCGACGAGATCTTCAACGGTCAACTCGAGAAGGTCGCCGCGTTTCAGGAGCAGACCTTCGAGGCTCTGAAAGACCGAGTCGAAGCCGCGTTCGAGAAGCTCAAGGAATTGGCCCCGCCGACCAGCGAGGAGGATGAGGGCGCTGAGAACGACCAGATCAAGAAGCCCGACGCTGCGACGGCGCAGAAGTTGAAGGATATTGAGACGGAGCTCGATAAGATCACGACCGAAATCTCGGAGCTAAAGAAGTACAGCAACATCAACTATACTGGTTTCCTCAAGATCGTCAAGAAGCACGACCGCAAGAGGGGCGATCGGTACAAGGTGCGACCGATGATGCAGCTGAGCCTGGCGAAACGGCCCTTCAACTCGGAGCAAGGGTACTCGCCCTTGCTCAACAAATTGTCCATCATGTACTATGCCATTCGGCAGCAATTGGACGAAGGGTCCGGCGATGCGCAGCCACTGGATCTCGAGAGCCAAGGAGAGACGCGGCACGGCGAGCGGTATACCGCCCACAAGTTCTGGGTCCACCCGGATAACCTGCTGGAGGTCAAGACGTATATTATGAGACGTCTTCCGGCCCTTGTCTACAGCGAGCAGTCAGCTAAGGAGCTAGATGGAAGCAATGACCCGACCATCACGTCGCTTTACTTTGATAACTCAAAGTTTGATTTGTACGGAAAGAAGGTGGAGCGTAAGGCGGAGGCGTCTTCGGTGCGCGTGCGTTGGTATGGTCAGTTGAGTGCGAAGCCTGAGCTGTTCCTCGAACAGAAGATTGTTGGGGAACAAGGATCCAGCGAGGAGCGAAGATTCCCCATCAAGGACAAGTATATCAAGCCCTTCATCGACGGCACTTACAAGATGGAGAAGACGGTGGAGAAGATGGAGCGTCAGAGCCAGCAGGCGGAGGTGGTTGAGAGCTTCAAGAGCACCGTCGAGTCCCTCCAGGGCTTCATGCAGGAGAACAAGCTACAACCCGTCTTGCGCGCGAACTACGTTCGCACAGCTTTCCAGAAGCCCGCGGACGACCGCGTGCGCATCTCCATCGACACAGAGGTGGCCTTCATCCGCGAGGACACGCTGGACAGAGACAGGCCGTGCCGCGACCCGGCAGAGTGGCATCGTCTCGACATTGACGGCCGAAACCTGACGTACCCGTTCAAGGATATCAACCAGAGCGAGGTCTCTCGTTTCCCCTACGCCATCCTGGAGATCAAGCTGAGGGAGGACCCCAACCGCAAGCGCCCTGCGTGGATCACGGACCTGATGGCGTCTCACCTGGTGCACCCTACGCCTCGCTTCTCCAAGTTTGTCCACGGTATCGCCTCCTTGTTTGAGGACTTTGTCAACAACCTGCCCTTCTGGTTGAGCGATCTGGAGGCGGACATCCGCAAGGACCCGCAGGTGGCTTTCGAGGCCGAGGAGCAGCGCAAGGCGCAAAGAGCTGAGGACGAGCAGGCCGTCGGCAGCTTTTTGGGCAATAAGGTGAGCTCGTATAAGATATCCAAGAGTTCGCCGGCCGCCCAGTCGTACCTCGCCAACAGAATGGCCGCCGAGAGCTCGCGCTCCCAGTCGAGACCCGTCAACGACGAGTCCCAGCAGTCGTCGAGCCGCCAGAACGGCGAGGGCTCCAACGGCCAGCAGAGGAGCTACGGCACTCTTTCGTCCGTGCTCCCCGGCTTCTCCCTGTCCAAGTACTCGCAGGCGCGGAGGGCGCAAAAGAACCAGCAGCAGCTGCCCGAGGGCGTCGTGGAGCCGACCGAGTGGATCAAGAACTCGGGTGAGCTCAAGATCGAGCCCAAGGTGTGGCTGGCCAACGAGCGCACGTTCCTCAAGTGGCAGCACATCTGCATCCTGCTCGGCGCGCTCGCCGTCTCGCTGTACACGGCCGCCGGGGAGAATTTTCTGGCCGAGGTCATGGGTATCGTGTACATCTGCATCGCCGTGTTTGCGGGCGTCTGGGGCTATGGCATGATGAGGCTGCGGAGGAAGATGATTATCGGTCGCAGCGGCAAGGATTTCGATAACCTTGTCGGGCCATTGATTATCAGCATCGCGTTGATGGCTGCGCTGGTGATCAACTTTGTGCTTGCCGTAAGTTTCCCCTTCCTGTAGGACTCAGACTAGTGAGGTTTTCGTGAGTCGAGATACTGACATGGGTTTTCTAGTACCGCTCCGCTATCGAGAGGATGGAGGCAGGCAAGGAGGTGCTCAACGGCGGTAATGCCACTGGCGAGCCTATCCGACAAGAGCTCATCTAAAGACGGGTGGGTTTTGTGAAGTAGAGTGGGAGGGGAAAACCGTTGACTGATGGAGCATCTCATGAGATGCTCACTTTTTTCTTTGCAAGCTGTAGTTGTTTGCGTTTGCATGGTTTGGTTGGTGTGCTGCATTTGGATCGGTGCTTTTTTCCTTTTTATTTGGTATTGGTTATGATACCTGTCGACATTAAGGTAGAAGAAGCGGTGTTGTAAGTATGGTGTGATAATCGATATTTTGTGTGTATGTTTGTGTCTTTCATGACTTGCGTGGAGTGGAGTGTGATGAGGTGGAGGCAAGAGAGAAGGGAGGTTGGGTGTCGTTCTGATGTTGGGATGTCTTTTAAGTTTCGTGTCAGCTTGCGCTCACCCGGACTTTTGTCTGGTGTAAGTCCAAGTGAGAGATCGAGGGCTACGCTTGGAGTTGCGATGCCACATAGAAGCTACCTTGACTATACGGGATAGCCAGTTGTCTAGATCTCTTGCTGTGTTATATCAGGTACCAGAAGGGGGGGGGGTATTTGGAGGAAGTGTAATGACATTATTGTTCCGGGCCGTGAGATGTCTCCGACGATGCCTATGCGAGCCAGAGGCGGGGTGACTGCGCTTTGCCGGAGTCATACCATTTTTCTCATGTCCATGAGAGCAATTTTGATCATATTGATAAGGCGAATCGAATAGGCCCGCGTGCTCCTGATCAACGGAGTACTGGTATTTGATCCGACATGTAAACATCCCGGATGCATCGGTACCCTCCCTTCTACCGAATCCTTCTTGGCAAGTGGGATATCGATCAAGATTAACCTAGAGCGGGAAAGACACGGAATTCATCGGTGGGGTTTTGTGCAGGAACTGATAAGTCGTACTTTTTCAGTATGCCAGCTTCTAGTTGGCTGTGGACGCTTATGCTGGACTAAATGCTCGTAGGACGGAGAGAAGGAGTGGTATGTGGGAAGAACTTCTATACGCCGTCGAAATTGTCCGTCCGTGGAGGCAGCTTCACATACGGCTCGACGGCTCCAGGTTCACTGCAACTTTTGAAGTGCCAGATCGACCTCGAGATTGAGGTCGCTGAACTGCAAGATGGACTTGGATCTAGAATTTCTATAGCATTTGTACTCTTCAGACCTCAACGACCTCTAGGTCTCCTCAATTCTATGTTGAAAAAGGAGTGATGGTAAGAAAAATGTCCCCACGAGGCTTCTTTGCCTACCGCAGCCGTCCTTTACTGGTCTCGGCGCGCCCCTCTGCCCGAATCCCGCCCCAAATGCCGCCTCTATCGAGCTCTGGGCATACGGAAGGGCGGCTTAAACGAGGGGTGGTTGTCTGCTGGCAAGGATAGCCGATGCAAGGATATCGCTTGTGGCGTGGGCATAGAGACATTCAACAAAGTGGAAAGGGTAGGCAAGCGATTCTCCTACATACGAGGCGATACCTTTTGCTGTTGCGGCGGTTAAGACTGATGTGTCTCGAATTGCGACAGCTGAGCCGCCTCAAGGTGCATCCGCAACATACTGGGCTGCGGTCAGCTTCTCAGTGGGTGGTAAGTCAGCTATTGATATACATAGAAGACTCTGCTGAAAAACTATGGTTAGTGTAGGAGCTTGATTGCTTGCGCCATGTTGTAGTAATTGGTGACTCTGCTTGGAATTTGTGGACGGTGTGAACGACTCTTGACTCACCTGATCCAGGTTCTGGAAAATCTGCCGAGGAATCGACGGTGGCGGCGGAGGGGGATGGCACCTTCTCTGGTGTTCTCTTAAGTGTCTTGGAGAGGGAAACCCAACATCGTTGTAAAAGCAGTCTTGTTTGAGGCATCGTGGTTTCTCTTGATGTCTTGTTGAGTGACTCGTCAACTGCGAGGCTGAAGAGAATCCAACTACGGCTTTATCGCATCCGTAGACAGGACACACAAACGCGGACGGTCCATATTCTTCTTTGAATGCGATCAAATCCTCAGCCCAAAGCCCTGGACAATTGACCTCTCTTAAGAGGTCGATAACGTAGGTATGATACTTTGTTCTGACGGACGATAGTAACGTTGCATCCTCAAGAGAGGGCATATTGTCTACGCAACAGTAATCATCAGTTGACATATCTACAACATGTCACAGTTAATTGCACAGAAAATCAAGTAGTATACGTACCAACCGGTTCCTTTGTTGCTTTGCGGATTTCGTGGACTTGCTGGATTAGTGTTCTCGTTTGGGGCAGGCTTTCCAGCCAATGTAGACGAGGCTCGAGGCTTTCTACATTGTAGATTCGCGCGGGCTCTTTCTCCAGACGATCGGACCAATTTTTAGTAAGCCCAACGAGTTGTCTTTGAATGCTCAAAGAATCGGGCGTGCAGAATCCTTGATTAAGCTCGAGATACTCCAGCAGGTGTTCGATCCAGTATTCGTGTGCGTAGGGAAGAAGCCCGTAGAAACCCTGTGCAATACAGTAAAGATGCTCCAGGCGTTCCAAGGTTTCGTCAGCCAGATTCAGGCTCTGTATTAACTGCGCAATACAGGCAGTTGTGATATCTCGGCAAGAGTCTTTTCTATTGATAAACGGCCCACTGGATTGGGCTTGAAGAAATCTGACATGAGACGTCAATCGACCTGCGCGCGTGAAAGTAGATTGCTCGGGACACTGACTTGGGTACTGTGCCGTGAATGAACACTATAGTTGCACCTGGACCATCCTCTATGAATGGTTTACAAAGATCCAATACGTTTGGAAACGGTTTCGTTCTCTCATCGATTATGGTCAAATCGGCATGGAGAACTCGACCTAGTCGTAATTCAAATTTCCTCATAGGCTGGCCACCCCTCGAAAACACCATCCAGCCAAATATTCGTCGTAACTTCGACACATCTGTTGCTTGACAGCGGCTCATGATACTTGTGAGTATCTTGGAGTATCTGGTTATAATCAGCTACGATACGAAAGATCGAGAAGATTGTAGGAATTACGCCTCTTCAAGGTCTTTGGGAAAGACCTCAACGCTCGATATAAGCTCTTGAATATTGTCAGTCGTCTCCAACACCTGTAATACTAGGTGAACCCATAGGAACATTCCTACGCTTCCGTCAGCCCTTCCAGTTCTTTTCGTATTGAAGGGGAATCCCCATACCTTCTGCTCTTTTAAGGATTGTTTCCCGGATTTCAGTGAACACCGATTCGGGGACTCGACCATCTAGCCCTTCATTGATGGCTTCCAGGCGGCTTGAGACAATCAAGCCAATATCCTTACAAACAGACGCAGACTGCTTCCCAACTATCAGTGTTGGTCTGCCCTTCAAGTTCCTCGCTATACTCGGGATATCCTGGCTAGATATGAGCAACCTGAAGTTTCCCTGCGTCTCGGCCAGCCTTGCTAGGGTCTTGATCAATTCTCCGTGTTCCGATGACCCAATCTCATCGATTCCATCGATGATCAGGCGTAAGTCTTCGAAGAAGCTGAAAAGTTTCGGGATAAATTCCTTCAGAATTGATGTCGAAGGTGTTTTTCCAGACACGACACCCTCTTTGTAGATGAACGATGCCGTCTCCGGAACAAGATCCATGATCTGGGCACATATGCTCCGTAAGACCTGCACGGTTACCCCGTATCCGGTAGTATGAAAATCGCAGAAGAAGAATAAGCAATTCCATGTGGGGTTTGATCTGAGGAAGTAGATGAGTTGCGAACATAGGATGGATTTGCCTTTGGAGATCAGTCGGTATCTCTGAATTAAACAGGACGCAGCTTACCAGAACCAGGCTTTCCATTAAGCCACAAGACCGGCTTTTCTCTGCCTTTTTGGAGCCAGGATCGAACCTGGGGTGACCCAGTTAGCCACTGAGATGTTCCATCGAGACAACGGTTGTGAAGGCGCTCAAGCTTCTCCTCGCTTCTGTCGCTCACTTGAAGCCACTTGTTGACAGCTTCGCGCTGGTGAATCTCTTCTTTCTTTTCTCGATCTTGAGCCTCCTCCAGAAGCTTTTGCCGCCATTCTCTAGCTTGAACTATCTCATAGGAAGCTGCCTCCCTGTCTATGAGTTCGCTATGTTTGGCGATGCTGTCGAGTAATGAATCATACCGATGCTGGAATCGACCCCAACAGGTTGAGAAGAGCATTGCCCATCCTAAAAATAAATGAGCATAAATTTGCGAAATTGGTATTTTTCTTCAGGACATCTTACCCGGCTTCTGTACCAGCCGGTAAGCGTGGCAATGGAAGTCAATGATGTCTTGGTAAATGTGGCCCAGTAGTTGCTGGAAGTCGTGGCTGTCTGGGAACGCATTGCCGTATCGAGAGAGACGCGGAAGTGATGCCCCAATTCGACTATAAGCAGAGAGGATCTCATCCAGCGCATGCGTGTGGTCCTGAGATATCTAAGCGAATCGGCACTCTTAGTATTACAAGGTCCTAGTCAAGCGGTAGATGCGAGTCAACTCACTTGGAGAATGAGCTTGAGAGGTGCCTAGATAGATGATATTGATGATCAGATCGTCTATCTTGGAAGTCTTCTCCAGTGGAGGATCTCACCCATATATAAGGCAGGAACGGAACGCCATTAGATAGGACGTCGATGGGTTTTGTCAAACGATCAGCTGCATCGAGAAAAGGTACGAGCCGTTCGAAGTTTCGTAACTTTTGACGGGAGGCGAGATAGCACTCCATTTGGCTGATAGCCTCGCGAACATCTTCCACACTCTTGACATTTTCTACTCGCCGCGTCTCTTCGTCCGATAAGTGTGACCGGAAGCGCTCACACGCTCTTTGGAGCTGCAGAAGAGCCATATTGCGTCCTCCAAATCATTTGCGTCTAGAGTTCCAGTGCGCTGTTGTGCTAGAAATTGGGCACGATCGAATACTTGATATGTTGCTGGAGGATACCTAAGACTGTGTTTGCGGATGCCTTGCAAAGCCACTGTTTCCTGAGTTGGAGTGGCGCAATGCAGTCACGAATGTTGGCATAAATTAGGTGCCAATCAGCCAATGCATCGACACCAACCACTCCAATGTGCAGCGATACTACATGCACTGCCCAGCGTATTGTCACACGAGGCTGACATCCCCCCTGTTTTATGCGAAGCAGTGAAGCGGCGGTAAAGCCTAGCCTGCCTGCAATACTAAATTCAACAGTGGTGCTGGTATCCTATAAGAGCCATCAACCTTGATACTGCCTATCAGTTGCCAGTCTAAACGCTTCGAGGCACACGGCATCCGGTCACTACCAATCTCGGAGACAGTCGTATCATATCATCTGCCCTCTGGACCTCCTCGATGTCGTCGGATCCGCATCATGGCGTAAAGCGACGGCGGGTAGACGGGAACTTGTTAGCATTCGGGTCAGTTCCTGTTGCATACCAAGATTTTGCCTCGGAAGATGAGAATCAAATGACCAGGAAGAAGTTACCCGTGTCTACCAACGATTTTTCTGTCGAAACATATTCGCAGGTTAAATCTGAATGGTTTACTTGCGAATTCGAAGATCTTCATGTGCCCAATTTTGAGGACCAAGTTATTTGTTTTGGAATGGTATGTTTATAAAGCCTTATTGAAAACCTAGGTTCTCCAAGACTAATCAAGGAAGCTCACGTCATTGAGCGCACAATGGATGACCGATATTGAGCGCACCCCAGCAACAAATGTTCATCTAATTCTAGACAACGAATGGCAACTGGTTTCTTCAACACATCCAGAGTTCCGCGCGGCTTTGGACCCACGCGGTCGTGAGTTGCTCGAGTTGTTTCACCGCGAAGGCATCAGCATCGATATTCTCGGGCTAACAGCTGAGCAAAAGGATGTCGATGATGATAGAATACAACTTTGGATAACGTTATACGGATTGCGGGAAATAGCCCAGGGAGTTGGGGGTGCGCTGCAAGAAGCCGAACTTTACCTACAGGATCCAGCTTTCTCTCTAACAGACGTCGAATACTTCAATCCGCAACGCTTCACTAATCCGGATGGAAGTCGAACTGCCGACTTTCGAACTGTTCTTTCAGACGAGGACGAAGTCTCAGCTGGCATGGATGAGACCCTGATGGCGATAGACGTCCTGAAGAGCGTCACTTCGACAACTGTGCGATTTGAGACGAACGGCTCGTATTACCTTCAGACAGAGCTGCAGAGGTGAGAACACATACATCTCAACCGTGGAATAAAGCAATGCTTAAACTAATTGAAACAAGTCACCAGAAGCAAGGCTTGACGTTTATGCTTGAACGAGAACGTGGTTGGCGATTACAAGAACCTAATGGGGATGTGTGGTCACAGCACGTTGATGACTTTGGGCGAAAAACGTGAGAATCCTTTCTATCATTCATTAATATCAAACTGACTGTCTAGTTATATCAATAATGTCAACTCGTCGTTTCGTTGCGCACCCCCCGCTCCTTTCAAAGGCGGGATTCTTGCCGATTTCATGGGTCTCGGCAAGACACTCAGTATGATATCACTTATTGCCCATGATAAGCTCTGGGAGAGTGGATCGCAATACGTCAGACAGGAACCGAATTCGCTAGGTTCTGGTGGCACACTTATTGTAGTGCCTCTATCACGTATGTCTTTGAGTATGTGGAGTCCTACTCGAACAGAATTAACCATTTTATGCTACAGTTCTCGACAACTGGGAAAAGGAATTGACCAAGTACGTGACTTTACAGACCGATTGCTTGATATATGGGATTGAGTAACAAATGTTCTAGACATCTTCTTGGGGATCACTTCAACTGGCGTCGCCATCACGCGAAAACCCAACTGAAAGATGTGTGCCACCTGAGCACGAGTGACATTATCCTCACGACGTACACGACACTTTCAAAGGAGTGGAAAGTTCATGTGCAGACCAATGAGAGTCCAATTTTCTCACACGAGTGGCATCGAATCATCTTGGATGAAGGTATGTGCACTCTATTATCGTATTCAACCTGCAGGCTGACTTATCAACACAACACAGCCCATGAGATCAAGGACCTCAGGACAGCAAAAGCTCAAGCCATATGTGAGCTGAGAGGTGACTGCAAGTGGGTGGTTACCGGAACACCAATTCAGAACCGACTTTCTGAGCTCCACAGCTTTTTTCATTTTCTTGGGTTGCATCCGTATGATGACAAGAAAGCCTTTGACAGGGACATAACGAACCCCTGGCTTCGCGGGGAAGAGACCGGACCGGAGGCGTTGAAGAAAATTCTCGGCTACGTGATGTTGAGACGTTCGCAAGACACTATAACCTTACCAGAACGACGAGATCACCGGCGGCACCTTTATCTCAGCCCCCAGGAGCAACGTATGTACGACGCCGTCAAAATCAAGACCATCGAATTTATCGACAACGCACTAGCATCTCCTAGAAGTAACGATAATTACAGTAATGCGCTGGAGAAGATTAATGCTCTGAGACTTGTCTGCGAGCTGGGATGCTTCCAAAAGCTCAACCTTCAACAGAAGCCTGCCTCTTACGCGGGGCTCCTACCAGGAAGACCAGATCGACAGTCAACTCCACTTACACCCGGAAGAGAACGAGAGGAGGACGAAGACATCCAGAATGGCAATATTGCCGAAGCGATTGACAACTTCTGTCCGCCTTTACCCAACCTTGGGTTTAACTGGACCCAAGAACCAAGCGGCATGCTCTGTGGCTCCATGCCCACAGATCAATGGCCGACCAAGATCAAAGCCCTTGTCAACGATATCAAATGCTGCGTTCCGGGAACAAAAAGGTAGTATCAAGGCCTTCCTAGCCCTAGATCACGTAGCTAACGGAGTCCAGCATTGTATTTTCCTACCGGACATCCATCCTCGATGTCGCGGAACTAGCTCTCAACGACGCTGGAATCTGCTGCGCCAAGATCGATGGCAAGAAAAGCTTAACCAAGAGAAGTCGTATCATTGACGACTTCTCAAAGGCGGATGGGTCGTCCGTACTCTTGTTGTCCTTAGGTTGCGGCGCTGTCGGGTATGTCCAGCCCATTCACTAGCGCTAATTGTATCACTATCACGCAACATGTCATTAACTCTAATGTATTCTAAATAGGTTGACGCTCACTGCTGCTTCGAGAGCCTATCTGCTTGAGCCACAATGGAACCCGTCTATTGAGGAGCAGGCACTGGCGAGGATACACAGAATAGGGCAGACTCAAGAGGTCACAACCATTCGATTCGTTATAAGCAATTCCATCGAACAGGTAAGCAGCGTTGATTGTTGAATGCTGGTGAAGAAGATTCCTGACAGCCATTGTCACAGTATGTCTTGGATATCCAGAATGGGAAGCGTGACCTCATGAGTCTCCTGAGCTCAAAGCCTGCGACAAGTCAACAATTGACAGCCAAACTACAGGTAACTCAAACGCTACTATTCTACGCACAATTCGTCATCTAACGGATCTCAAAGCAATTACGTCAGCTTCTAAGATAGGCAATATCCCAGAGATGGAGAAAGGATATCATGCCTTCCTGGGGAGGGCATCCGCGCCTGTCATCAATGGTCCAACTCTAGGCCGAGAATCTGAGTAGAACGAACAGAGATAGATGCTGAAGCAGATACAGAGAATATGTAAATCATGATGCAACCAGAACAGCTCATCATTATAGACAGTGCCATGGTTTGAGGAAGACGATTTCTCTCTCAGATAGTGTAACCATCTCAAACAAATCTAACTATTAGGAAGAAATAAAAAAGAAACATGGGAGGGAGGGGGGATACTGACCTTATTTTTCACGCCCCTATTCGGATTCGAACAGCGCGCCCCTCGGACCAGCACGGCTTCATTGGAGTATTTCATATAACACGACTCTGCGTCAGAGTCGAAACCACCCGGCCAAATGGCCGGGTGGGTGCTGGTGACAGAAACTGTGATCAGACTCCTTAAGTAGTTAGGTACGTGATCTGGGTAACTGTAGCTGGGGAAAGAGGAACGTAGAGGTGGAAAGGGGCGCCTGCCTGACAGGGGCTGGTGGCTTTGGGATGGAAGGCACTCGCTTGGCCGCAAATGGGTGGTATGTGGTCCTGCCCAAGGTGGCTATCCACCAAGGCAGAATAACTGGCCTCCCGTTGGCGTCGAGTGATTCATCTGGTGACGGTGGGAAGTAGGTGTGATTTGCTTGGAAAGAGTCAATGAGATCTAGTCCATACGAAGCTCGGAGACGGCATCGACGTTGGCATACTTGTCTTCCTCGACATCTGCACTTACTGCTTTGACAGCCTTGTCTTGGGTTTTTCAATTTGATCAATCGATTAATTGTTCCCCATTTCAGCATACCCAAGTTTATCCGGCTGAGCCTTATATCCATCATACCATCCAGAAGGGGATGGACTTATGGCCAGGGATGGAGAGGACTTCATCACACAATCTGAACAAATATTTAACAGGCTCGGCTTCCTCAGAATCGTCAGGAAGTGATTTCAATATTGAAAACGCTGGGAAACCCGTTCTGGGCAAGAGTAACAACGTTTGTGGCCCAGTGTGCCTCTAATCCGCCCCTTCCTGGCCGCCTTCCTGGCCGCCTTCCTGCCTCACTTTGCAGAGGTGATCTGCTAGGCCCCACCCACTCCTTCCCGAACATTAAAACTGAATGAATACACACGAGAATACACACAGGAGGAAGCCAATATAGGTCCTCTCGATCCCGTTCCTGTCACCAGCCAGCAGGCGCCCCTTTGGGGGTCAGGTCAAAACTGGCTAGGTGGTGGAGTGGTTGAAGTCCACGAACAGCCTAATCGGTGAAGGTGAAGAGGTCCCGTGTTCGGGCTCCAGCATGCGCACTAGAGATGTAGCCCCCAGCTAGCCACCGGGGGGGATGAACTCTCTTGTTTTTTGGTTTGTTGATTTAGAGGCTTGTATTATGATATGTATGCCTACAAGCCGGATGCCCATCAACAATGATATCAGCTGGCAGTGAAGTAGTTAGGAATCCTGCGCATGTTTCGAGGGCAACGCTACAGAGCATCGATGACATGCACGTCCTTGCGTGCAAAACTCGGACAATGGTAGTCGACGAGTATAAGCAATAGCAGCAGCAATGGAAGA